TGCTCCTGTCAGCCTTCCATCTACCTGCCCTGCTGCTGTCTCCTCGTGTTCTGTTCCTCCCCTTGCTGCCCGCCCAGCGCACGCTCCCTGAAGAGAAGGTCTCTGTGGAAGCAGGGCCCCTGGTGTTGCCCGGGCTCTGCCCAGCTCCCCTTTCCCTCCTTGCTCTGCTTTCTGCCACTTACACTCTGCTCGCTGTGCCCTGTGGCAGAGCGGCCCTGCACACCAGCTTCCTGCTCCCAGCACAGCATCCCTGTCGCTGGGGTCTGCCCTGGCCTTCTGTGATTTTTTTTTTGTTTTGTTTTGGGCTGGTTGGTTGTTTCTTTCATTTGTTTTCGGACTGCGACAGCTGTCAGCTAGATGTGAAAGCTGAACGGTGCTAACGGGGAGGTGTGACAGATGCCCCCCACGCTGGCCAAGCAAGCAGTGCTTTGGTTCAGGCATCACCAACAAGCAGGCCTGACTGATACCAGCCCTGCCGTGTGAACCATGAGAGCCATAATAAGCTGCATTTTCTCAAGGACCAAGGAGTCTAGACTACATCTTATCAGGAGATAACAGCATCAGCCCGAGCTGGGACTAGACAAAACTAAAACTGCTGCAGCTGCACAAACACCAAAGGGGGGGGGGGTGACCACGAGTCCATAACTTTATGCTATAATTGCTTGTAGCCTCCCTGAGCCCATCGAGTTCTTCTGTCGGCGGCGAACTGCACGGTGGTGATCTCCTCCTTCAGCAGGGACACATCTCGAGGTTACACTACGAGGCTGAGAGACCCTTTACCCAGCGTCTGATATCTACAGCAAGGTGAGTGACACTTTACACTCAGCCTAAAAGTATAATTTATGCTGGTGACGTTCATATGTACCCAGCTATAGCTTAACATTAGAAGTGTAGTAATAGCAAGTGTTTGACTGCTGCCTAAATTGTTGTTTAAATCATCATTGCCAAATCACTTTTTTGTTACCAATTTTCACTTAATATCAGTTGATTACCGTTTCATTCAGCCGTCAATTAACTATAATTCGATCTAACAATTTTAACAATTGTTTAATTGTTAAAAAACACCCTCTTTTAGTTAACCCCACAACAATAGCTTCTCATAATAATTCACCTGTGATAGGAGGCTGGCCCTGCTGGCTTACACGCTGAGGGTACAGCACCTTTGAGCTTCAGTAGAACGGCAGGATCTTGCATGCTTTCCGTGGCAGAAAGTCTGGGGCCCTTCTGCTTTCCCTCTCCTTGCTGCAGCTTTTGTGTTCTGGGTGGATTACGGCCCCTGTGGCTGGGTTGCAGTAGTCTGGTGGGGAGACTGGTGCGATGAGACCACCAGTGCTGGTATAATAGCCTTGTTGGGGATGTACTTGTGGGCTGGTCGTCGCTGCTTGGCCCTGGCAGCTGTTGCCATTGCATGGGGAGACTTTGTCCACAGGGAATGAGGGACATCTCAAAAGAGTGCTGGTGCCTGCTCTAGTGCCTTTGCTCACTTTGGGTGTCGTGCTCAGATGTCGCACTCAGAGGAACTGGCTGTCCTGACAGATGATAACCTGGTTGACTTCCTTCTGAAGTATGAAGCTACTTACCCTCAAATCCCAGCGGAGGAGAATCCTGAAATGCCAGCGGAGGAGAATGGTCTGCTGGAAAACTTGACCCTGCCAGAGCCTGACGTGAGTTCTTTGGGAGGAATTGCTGCTGGGTTGTGGTTCAGGAGGTTTGGCTCCCTGCTAAGTAAAAACTTTTTCTTCGCAGCTCCTGGACATGGAGATAGATGACTTCTTCAGCTTCCTGCTGAGCTCTTGTGAAGGTGAACTAGACATGTTGCAGGATTATTTGCCTGCTGACAGTGACAACAGTGTTTCTGAGGATCAGCATCTGTTCCGTAGCCCTGGAAATGGCTTTGCCACCAGGCCTTCAAGCTCAGACGTTATAAAGGATGAACACAGCTATTCCCTCCATGGGAATTGGCCTGTGCTGGAAAGCATGAGATCTGAAACGTCAGAACAAGATGTTTCCAATGACCTTGGTAAGTGGTCTGTGTGGATTCTTTCTGTCCTGCCTACAGGGAGAAAAATGGTTCCCACATTGGGGTTTTGTGGGTGGGTGCCAGGCAGTGATGGAGAGAGTCCAGTTTACCGCCGTAAAATTGTGGTTTCCTGCTACTCGGAGCTGGCTGGTTAGGTGCTGCCTCACTGAGGCCCAGCCCTTGTGACTCTTCCTTTACTTCCTCAGGAGCATGGATGGGTTTGGAAGGCACAAGCAAGGCACTGGAACAGAGCTCCAGTCTCCCCGTTGCTGTTGATGCCAGACCCCAACTTGTGCCTGGATCCGTCACGCAGGTACTGACTGCCATGCGTGTGGGCCCCAGCCTTTGCTGCTGTTCACATCTCCTGTTCTCTTCTGGCTTGGCTCCTGTGAGGAATGTCTCTGAGGAAGACATGGTGCTGCTTTGGGAGAACTGATCCCGATTCTTTGTGCTTTCTGCATGTCCTGTCTATCCTGGAGTGGACTCTGTTTACTTTGCATTCTCAGTGGGGGTACTTCTACTGTTTTCTAGTCCAACTTCCAAGAGCTGATCCTGAAAGAGAAGGAGAGGCAGGTCCCGGAGAAAACAGGTTGTTCGTTACCATCGCGTCTGCAGCAGACCAAAGTGAGTCCTTGCTACAGCCTGTCCCTCCTGAACAGACTTGTACCACTTGAATGCTTCAGCCAGAGCAGGGTTTCAAATATACGGAGCGGCGCCTTGATGAAAGCATTGGTGCCCAGGTGCGGTGTTCAGGGCAGCGTGTGCCATGGCTTGGTGTCCATTTCCTCCTTTCGAGGCCCGAGGGGTGTCCACGTACCCAGCAGCCTCTGCTGTGCTTATCAGATAGATACAAAGAGCAATGAAACCTGGCTACTGTCAGTCTCCTCGCACATGACTGCTTGCAGAGAGACAGTTACACCACAAGTGCCTCCAGCCTGTTTTTTCCTGCTTGCCTAGTGGCTTGTGAGCTGCATGCTTTTCATTTCCCTTGGGTATGCCTCACTTTTGCTACACTGAGGAAGCTGCTGGCCACATCAGCAGGCTAGAGTTTGCCAATTCATTCAGTGATGTGAGAGGGACAGAGAATAAAAGCAAGTGGGCTGAGCGCAGAGATGTGTGCAGGGTTTGGGATTGCCAGTGCCCTAGGGTTGCTGCTAATGAGAAATTACCCTCACAGACTGAAGACCATCTTCTGAAGAAGGTGCGTCGAAACATCAAGACCAAGCGGTCAGCCCAGCGTAGTCGCGGCAGGAAGAGGATGTACAGGAAGGACCTGAAAAAATGGTATGGGCATACAGCACTGTCACCTGACACTGAGAAGACAGACAGGTTCTTTTAGGGATCCTTGGCAGAATGATGGCACTAAATTGTAGTTTCTGTTAAAGCTTTGTTTTCTTAACATGTTATCATTAGTATAGCACAGAATTTATGATTAGAATGGCACAGGATTTCTGCAAGCAGAATCAGTGTAGTACAATCTAAAAGCAACACAATACAGAATTTATAATACAACTTAGCTAATAATTTCTAATCACCTATCTCCTAATACAACTTACGATGTCTAATCACCTGGACCCTCTGCAGATAGAGTCACATCTTAATACATGGTTTGCTGTATCAATATAATGATCATAATCTAGACTCAAAAATGATATACAGGAATATGAGTCATTCTCTTAATTATGGGAGGAAGCAGACCATGGTGGAGGTGTCCCTGGCCAGAGGAGGTCCCAGGTCTCACTGTCCAGCAGCAGCTCCAGTCCAGGTTGCCCCTTAGGACTTGTAACTGCTTGATTTTATGGACAGTGCTCTGCGTGCTGTTACACTTCCCTGCTCTGTGACAGGGTCGTCAACAATTCTGGGCTGGCTGGGTGCTTGGGACCTTCAAAGCCAGTGGGAAAGGGAGTAACCAGCCTTCCACCCAGGAACCTTGAGACCAGCTGGGAGGGGAAGAAGAAAAATCTGTTTGGTTTGTCTACTTGGGGCACAGGATGTTCAGGACCTGATAAGGAGTGGGCAGAACGAATATCTGACTCGCTCAGTCACAGGGAATGGCTGCTCACCTCATAAAATGACGTTAGTTGTGCTGACCATATTGCCAAGGATCGGGAGCAGGGGGAACTGGTCACAAGCAGCTGTGCTGTGCTGCTGCTGGGGTCTTGCTGTCCTGGGCAGAAAATGAGGCTGACCCTGTGGGGCAGCAGCCCTCCTCAGGGGGCTCAGAAGCTCATAGTTGCCCTGCTCTCTTATGCTTGGAGATGGCCCATAGCTTGCTCTGTTCAAGCCAGGTGATGACCTGCAAGGTCCAGCGTGTTCTCCAGGTCAGACTAGTTTGCAATACAGCCTGATGTCATGGACCTGCAGGGCTGATGTGCTGCTAGGAGCAAGCATCCTTAGGGATTATTCTGGTGCTTCTCTGTGGGACTAGGCAGGGCTCACACCTCCCCAAACCTCGTGTGAGATGTCAATCTCTGGCCTTTGCTCCAGGTGGTGCCAGGCAGACCTCTGGAGCAATTTTATCTGCCCCAGCCACCCAGAGATGGTGGCTGTTTACCTGAAGAGAGACTCTGGTGAAGTCCCTTCTGTTGACTAACAAAGCCTCTCTGATCTTCCCCCATGGTGTTCATCTTTCCTGGGAAGGGTAACACTCTGCACAGCTCAGTACCACAGGCTGGAGAGGAAGGTCCAGCGGCTGCAGAAGCAGAACATGTGAGTTCTTACTGTTGGATATGGCAGGAGATGTGGTGGGGAAGGCTGTTCCCCTTCTTGGGATTGTGATCTGTCCCTGGCTGCAAAGAGGGGAGGAGGGGAGCATGCAGCTCTTGGTTCAGCCACTGCGTTAACCTGCATTGCCTGCTCTCATGCAGGTCAGTGCTCAAGCAGTTGCGGAAACTGTGGGCCTTGGTGAGACGATCCACCGCTGAAGCTGCTGCAGCAAAAGCCTACACCATGGTGAGTGGCTTCAGCCCCAGTGTCTGTGAAGGGGTCTCTGCTGTCCTTATAATTTTGGGAGCAAGGCATCTATTGCAGCCGGTGATGCTATCCATGTCATTTGCTGGGGTCTTTGCTGATCTTCTTTCTGTTTCCAGGTCATGGTTCTGTCCTTGTACCTCATCGTCTTCCCCAACAGCTGCTCACTTGAGAACGGAGAGACACAGCTGGAGCTTGGAGGTGAGTGCCCAGGGGCTGAGGCATGGCTCCAGGTGAAGTGCTGCCCTCTGGGGCAGAGCACCTTCCTCAGAGACAGACTGAACTCTGAGGCACCTCCAACCCAGCAGCCCCTTGCCTGGGGTCACCACTAGGTTTGGCTTTGCTGTCACCTCCCATCTCTGGACTCTTCCTCAGTCCTGTTGCAGAGGCCTGCCCTGAGGCAGGGTACTGGGCTTGTGGTGGTACAAGAACTGGAGGGATCTGGTCCCCCTTGGAGCACAAGCTGTGCTTGTGCCTGGCAGCTGTGCAGCACCCTCTCCCCACCTCCCTTGGTAGAAGGCAGCCCTAGTTGAACAGTTTGTTCCCCTCTTGTGGGTTCTGTGGTAGCCTGTGCTCAGAGCATGACAGTGAGAGGCTGGGAATGACAGGGCTGGCTCTACCTCTCTTGCAGAGCTGTTACAGCAGATCCACGAGTTCGTAAACCAGGTAGCACCTGATGTGCAGGAGTACACTATCCTGGAGGGTTTCAGCCTGGAGCCTGAGGACGCCTCTCTGTTGGGTAGCCTCAATCTATCACAGGAAGAGGGGCAGAGTCCACCCAACCCCAATCCTAGATCTTTCAACAGCAACTTGTCCTCCAGCACTCTGGTGGCAGTGATCTCCGAGCCGGGCCCTCCCCAGCCTCAGGAGCAGCACTCCCAGAGTGACCCTCTGCTGGCAGCGGTGCTGGCGATGTGGGAGGCCAGGAGGCAGGAGTGGGTGCAGGGTGCTGCTGAAGTTGTCATCCAGCAGCAGCATGCTGATGGGTTGTAACTACCATCGCCTCCTGCGTCTTGGTGTGATGCCGAGCACCCTGCCAGGAAGGGACAAACAGAGCTGCATTAACAGATAATCTGTCAGCAGATTCTTCTGAATACTCTCCCGATTGCTGGCAGTTCAGAGGATTTACTAGGGAGGAATTGTTTTAGGGTTTACCTGTTCGGTCACCCTGCTCTGTTTATCTGTAAGCAAGAATCTGTCTGAGATGGGGTAGGAGACTCTGGGAACTTTGCTATGGCTGCTGACGTGGCCTGCAGCCCGGGATGCTTACAGGGATGGGCCGTGGCATGGAGGGTGAAGGCGGTTGGGCCTGAGATGCCAGTACTTGGTCTGACTGGGTACAGTTGGTGGTGGAGGGCACTGCTCTGCTTCTTCCCTGCCCAAGTGGAGATGAATAGACTGGGTCCTGCACTTCTTACTGTGTCTGGAGGCCATAAGCATCTGTCCCTCATCCCTTCTCCTTAATCCTGCAGCGTTGCCTGATTTCCAGGTGTGAGATAGCGAGCTGACCTTCAGTGCCCTCACAGGCAGTGGTCCTGCCACTGCAACAGACCCTGCAGGTCAGCTGTTCCTCCTAGCTTTTGAGCCACAGGTGCAGCTCGTGGCCTGGCTAGAGAAGGTAATGTGGAGTCCTTAGGTAATGTGGAGTCCTTGCTGAGCTGTGTGTGCTGTATCCCTTCCCTAGGGGCTGAGCCTTTCACCTCTCATAGCCCTGGAAATGGGACTTGGGGCGACAGCATGCCTCAAAACAGCCTGTTGAGGCAGCAGAGAGCAGCAGAGCCACTTGCTCTTCTGCAGGCCTTCCTGGCACAGGACGTTTTCAAAGCTATGTCCTCCTGTGCCTGAGCTTTGCTGCACTGGTCTGCAATGCAGTCACCTGGCTCTGGTTGCTCCCCAGGGCTGAGCAGAAACAGTTATAGCTGGTGAGCGATGTCTTTACTTGGAGCGCAGCTTACTGGTACCTGTTGAACATCTTTCCTCATTCTACTTCAGGACATTTGTAGAAAGGTAGAATCTTAGAATCGCAGAAGGGTAGAATCACAGAATCATAGAATGGTTTGGGTTGGAAGGGACCTTAATGATCATCTATTTTCAACCCCCCCCTGCCACGGGCAGGGATACCTTCCACTCGGTCAGGTTGCTCAAAGCCTCATCCAAGCTGACCTTGAACACTTCCAGGGATGGGGCATCCACTACTTTTCTGGGCAAACTGTTCCAGTGCTTCACCACCCTCATTTAAAAAGTTTCTTCCTTATATCTAATCTAAATCTCTCCTCTTTCAGTTTAAAGCCATTGCCCCTTGTCCTATCACTACACACCCTTGCAAAAAGTCCCTCTCCAGCTTTCCTGTAGGCCCCCTTTAGGTACTGGAAGACTGTAATCATATAGAATAGTTTGGGTTGGAAGGGACCTTTAAAGGTCATCTAGTTCAAGCCCCCTGCAATAAGCAGAGACATCTTCAACTAGATCAGAATAATAATTAATTAATATTTTCCTTACTACCAACGTGTGAATAAATTCTAAGCAGTAATCACGTGTGACCCTGTCCTCTGTGGTTGTTCTGGTGGGGGTGGGCTGCTGGGTGGAGGCTGGGGTCTGCGCCAGGGACTGGAAGTGTTGTGGGAGGAACCCAAGGGAGGCTGGGGGGTGACAGCCTAACGAAGGAGAACATGCTGCTGCCTTCCCTTCCCGTGGCTGTGCAGAGGGGCTTGTTGAGCCATGGTGCGAGTTTGCTGGGCAGTTTCTTGGCTCTGACCCCCTTCAAGGGTGTGAAAACACTCTTCAGCCACTTTTGGAGACAAGTGGATGTTGTGAGCACCCAGCGCCCACGTGTGACCTGCGTGCACCCAAGCCACTGGTGCTGCGGAAGCGAGCAGCTTCCCTGGTAGGAAGTGTGAGGAGCCGGTGTCTGCCCCCACCGCTGCTTTCGTAAGGAGGAGCTGCACAATCACAGGAAGCAGAGCAGGGCCAGGGTGGTGCAACAGCTCCATCCCCTCAGCCAGGGGCTGCGGGGAGGGCCCTGACTGCTGGGAGGTTACTAAATCAGGGTTGGCCCCTGGGTTTCGTTTGGATCGTTTTTTCCGTGGGAGACAGTAGCAGGCCCTGAGCTCAGGCTGCAGAGCTCAACGTGGGGTTTGGAAGTGCGGGAGCCCAGCGAAGTGATGATTGTGAGCAGCACCACGCTTGCAGCCTACCCAGGAAGCAAAGGGTGTTTGTGCAATTGAAGGAGATAAAAAATTGAATGTTGTGCCTCTGCCTTGGTGGGAGAGACAGTGGGCCCTGTCTTGTGGCAGGGAAGCAGCACACTCGTAACAGGGTCAAGTTGCAGCTCTGCCCTGGCCAGGGCAGGCAGCCCGTGAACATCTTAAGGTTGCCACTGGACCTTTTTTCCCAGGAGCCGTATGTGGTGGCAGGGAGGTCTAGGACCCTGTCATAGAATCATAGAATGGTTAGGGTTGGAATGGACCTCAAAGATCATCTAGTTCTAACCCCCCTGTCATGGGCAGGGAAACCCTCCACTACACCAGGCTGCCCAAAGTCTCATCCAACCTGGCCTTGAACGTTTCCGGGGGTGGGGCATCCACAACTTCTCTGGGCAACCTGTTCCAGTGCCTCACCACCCTCTGAGTGAAAAATTTCTTCCTTATATCTAATCTAAATCTACCCTCTTTCAGTTTAAAGCCGTTTCCTCACTTTTGTTTTGTTTTTTGAAGTTCAAGGCCGGGATGCATAATGGCACTGCCTGGACTCCCTGGCCCAACAGTAATCAATATTGTTATGAGTCATCTGAAATAAAACTCGGTGGTGATACCAGCAAAGCAGGGAGCATCCACCGGGGCTGATGATTGGCCAGGGGTGATGGGGTCAGCCATGCGCTCTGCAGCATCCTGGCTTGCTTGGCCAAATGTCAGGAGGGGAGATAGCTCTGTGAGAGCAGGCAGGGAGGCAGGTGGGTGCAGCGGGCTCCTCATCAAACACACAGTACTGCTACCAGTGCAGCCCTTCCATGTGGAAAGCTTGGCGCAGAGGCTGGGATATCGCAGAGCCCAGAGCCGATCCTGGTACTGCACTGGGAACGTGTCTGGCCAGGTAGTTTTGGGGACAGTGGCTCTGTGGTCTCAGCCCGTGCTGCCCCATGGCTCATATTTTTAACTAGTCTCTGTGTTCTCCTACTGGTCCCACAGCCAGCAGCTCTGAGCCAGCAAGAGGAAGGAAGCCCAGCCTGGGCCTCATGCCTTGGGTTAAAGGTCAGCGACGATAAAAATGCCCGGAATGAGTCCTTCGGCCAAGGAGGCTTGCATCTTGTTTCCGTCAGGCAGAGGAACAGGAGTAGCCTGGTATTTCTGCCACCCTCCTCCTCCTCCTTGCTGCAGACCCTCCGTGGCACCTATTTCTCCTCCATGGCACCTATTTCCCTTGTTCACTGCAGGAACTGTGTGTGCACCGGCGCTGCTGCTCGCACACACAGCCCTGCGCTCTGGCTTAGGTGAATGTTACAGCCCCTGCTTGCCCTCCACGCTGTGTTCCCGCTGTTATTCCCGAGGTGGACCTGCATCCCACACATGTCCTGGCAGGTGTCGAATCAGTGTTGCGGGAGCACGCTGGCAGACCAGAAACATGAGCCTTTCAGGGCAAAATATTCTGCTCAGCCCTCAACAAGTCCAATATGGGTGTCATTGAATGGAAGCCCTCTGGTTTTTGCCTGGTGACTCTCTGGGTGTTGGTAGCACCATCTCCTTTCCACAATAACAACATGCTGAAAGTTAGGAAAGCTTGAAATTAAATTTGCCTCCTATTGCTGTGGGGGTCTGGGCTGGTACAAAACACCTCCTGCTCTTGCCTTTAAAGGAATCTATGAATCTATGAATCAGTTTTCACTTTTTTTTAAAGGAACTGAGATTTCTCAGAGAAGTGGGAATTTCAGTCATTAGAAGACACACCCTCCTTTTCAAAGGAAACCTAAATGCCGTGTCAACGTCTATCCTATTTTTGTTCACTAGCACCAGCTGCTGGATATTGGTGGAAACTGAAAAACTAGCAGAAATCTAAGCACTCGGTTAAAAAAGCAGCTGGAAATAACAGCGATGGAGCCCCTGCCTTCCCCCAGCCCCTGAAACTGGGCACCTCAGCCCCCGGGACTGATGAATTGCCAAGGGAGCTGGTTGTGTCAGGACCGTTTTGTCAGGGTGTCTGAGGCAGAAAGCAGAGAGGTCAGGCTGGGATGCCCAAAAAATATCCCAGCCGGTGCCAGATGCATCCTTCCCCTCTTCCCTTTCCCTGGCCACACACTTGGAGTGTGCCAAGCAAAGACTTGGCTGGTGACTGCCACATGTGCATTGCTCAGGGGACGTGGCTCTGCGGAGGGGTCTCTCTTGGGACAGGCTGTTTGGGAGCTTTCCCCACCCCTGGCAATAGGCAGCCGGACACTGAGACACATCCGCCAGGGCTGGGAACAGGAGGCTACTGGCTCTGCAAAAGCCATTTGGAGACGCCCCATGCATTCAAATGCCTGAGAAACAACATCTGCTCGGCTCACACGGGGAGGGCGAGCTGCCTGGAGCCTGCCCAGCCGCCCTGGGACGTGCTGCCCACAGTATCCCACCGAGGCTGTGCCTCATCCCACCACCTGGACACAGCCCAGGTTGCCCTGCACCTCCCAGAGATGTTTGGGAGGGACTCCAAGGGACAAGTTACCCATAGCACAGTGATAAGTTCACAGGTCACCAGGGAGGGAACATGGGACAGCGCCCATCTCCAGGGACCCGGCTGCCTTTGGCGATGCAGCACCAAGTCTCCCTGTGGGAGGGTGGCTGTGGAGCAAGGCAAACCCTGTGGCTTTGAGGTAGGGCAGAAACCAGAACCAAGCTCTGCATCCCTGTAGGTACTCTTTATTTTGCACCTAGTGCCCAGCCGTCGTGCTGGGCTGCTCTTGCCTGGGAAAGCATCAACCTGTGGGCCGAGAGCTGCTGAAATGCAGCACGTCAGCATGGGCAGAGCCTGGCCGAGGGAAGTGCCGTCTCCTTGCAGTCCTGGGATTTTCCCACTCACTGTTACTTTATCCGAGTAAAAACACTGGTGCCAATCCTGCAGGAAAGCCCATATCACTGTGGTTCACCCAGGTGGGGTCACCTACACTGTGCTGGTGGGTACAGGGGGGAAACCCAAGGGGGGGCCACTGTGTTCCTTGCTGCCTCGCTGGGTGCTGAGTGGGATGCCCTGTGGTGGAGGCTGCGCCAGGTGCTGGAATGGTGTCCTGCTCTCTCCCTGCTGGGCAGAATGCAAGGAGAATCCCAAGGCAGAGGGGGTCTGGCGCCAACCAGACCCCATGCTGGTGTCACCCACCCTGGGGCACACCCAGGATGCAGGAGCTGGCCAGGTCACAGGGATGCCCTTTAGCCCCTGCTTGTTGCTGATGACAAACCGATTTCACCCTCCCGGTCCCACCATGCCTCATCCCGTGGGATTTCTCCCCTCTCCAGCCCCAGGGCACAGGAAAGCTCGGCGTGGAGGTTCCTGGGACCTAGTGCTTACCGAGTGGCTTTCCAGTCCTCAGTGGGGCTCTCAGCTGCCTCTCTCATGAGCCACAGGGCATGCAGGGTCTCCTCCCCATTGGTGCCCACATAGCACTGGCCCAGGAAGGCGGTTGTCCGGGCTGTCTCTGAGTCTGGAAGGGTTCAAAGGGGCATGAGCCAGGGTGGCGAGACACAAAGCCACCCCGCTGGGTCCTTCTGGCATCCCTGCTACAGGGCAGTGGCCCCCTCCTGCCTACCTCGGAGCTGCCACTGCACAGTGAAGGAGAAGGTGGGCTGTGGGACCAGTCCTGCGTCCTGCTGGGACCCCTCCAACGGCGAGGTGAGGATTTTGGGGTCTCTGGCAGCAAACCCCGGCAGATAGGAACCGGAGAATCTGCCGTCCTTGCTGAGGATGGACACGACCATCCGGCAGCCAGTGTCGCTCTGCCAGGACCCGGAGAGGAGGCACTGCAAGGCCAGTGCTGTGGCTTGAGGTGTGTGGCCAAGCAGAGGGGACATCCTGCTCCCACCTTGCCACCCTGGCTCTGCTCGGCTATGGCTGCAGAGCTGGGGCACCCCATGCGAAACGTGCCACCGGCGTTACCACCTTGGCACGAGCATCATGCCGATCGCCTTGGGCTCAGCCACTGCTCCAGCTGTTTGCGGCTCCCACCCAGGGAGAGGAGCGAGTCCTCCTCACACGAAAGCAAGGGGTGCGCAAGCTTTACCTGCAGGCTTGGTGGGAAACTGGGTTTCTCTGCTTGTCTGTCGCTGAATGGATTCCCACAGCGAGGAGCATCCTTGCAGGAGCAGTCCCCCTCCCTCCCAGCCTCTCCGTAGCTTTCTCTGGCTGCAGACCCAGCCTCAGCCCTTGGGGTCTAGCAGGGTGCCAGTACCACGTCCCAATCACCACCTATCCCCATACCTTCCTCTCCGCAGGGGTGACACATGCCACCAGGGCCAGGGCAAGGACCAGGCTGAAAGCGTCGCTCCCCATGGCGGGGGGGGTTGCGAAGCGCCTGACACGACTCCCTCCCAGCCCCATGCCCTGGCCCCTTTTATAGGGCTGTAACCAGAGCCCCGTGGGCACAGTGGGTGTCAGGGCAGCAGCTACCGAGTGGGTGGCCAGGTGGCAGGGTGCCCGGGACAGGCGAGGCGAGGAGGTCTGTGTGACCTGGGCAGCGCAGGAGGAATGCAGCGATGAGCACAGGGGTGGGGAGAGGCAGATTTTTTTAAGGCCTTTGTAGCAGCCTGGAAAGCATCAACTGCCTTCCTTGGGAATCCACCTCCTGGGCACGCAGGCTGGAAATTATGACCCGTTTAAACATTGAACCACTTCCCGATTCGCTGATGCTGCTGCCAGAGCAGGGTGGTACCCACGTGGGGCCAGGACATCCCTGGCAGAAGCGAACGGGACGGAAAGGTCTTGCCTTCTGCTTTAGCAGCAGTAACACTTCCCCAGCGTCTTCTGGACAGCAGCTGCTAATGTTGCTGCTTTTGCATTTACAGGAGTTAGAGGAAGAGGTAACCACAGAGGCACACTGAGGTACAAGTGAGTGTGTTTGCTGAACACACCCAGCGTGCTGAGCAGCCTTTCTCGTAATTGCACCTGTTTCTTGTAATTGCGCCTCTTCCTTCTACGTGCTGGTCTTAAGGGCTGCGGATGTACAAAACAGAGCGTGCACTGTCCCTGCGTCCCCGAGCTGCTCCTCTGCTCGCTGCAGCACCTGGAACAGGCATGGGGCCGTGGGCAAATGAAAATGGAGGTGGGGTTCAGCTGCACAAACACATGCCATTTCCAGGACAGCAGTGTCTGGGGCACTGGATGGCAGCAGGGCTGCGGTGTGCATACTGGGGGTGGTGGAGTTCCATCCTGGGATGGCACCCTTAGAGCCTGACACGAACCCTGGCACACCCCAGAACCCTGCTGCTGCTGCTGCTCAGCACCTTCCCTTCTGGTCTGGATGGCCCCAAGGGCTGGAATGAGTGGAAACCACCCCTGCCGTAACACATCACTCCTCCTTGTAGCCTTCTACAGTCCCAAACTCACAGACTTATCACAGGGGCCTGAGAAATACTGCTGGAATATCTCTTGCTCTTGCCCTGGATGATGTCACACTCCATCCTTTGAGCCTCACACCAGCCCCTGCCTTTCTGTGCTGTTCGGCAGGTACAAGCCGCCCTGTTTGAGGTGCCAGGGAGGTGTCAGCCACCACTCCATGTCACAGCATCATGCACTGGCCTCACTGGGTCTGGGCCAGGCTTGAGGGACCATACGGCTAGTGTGCTAGCATCTCCGGGGGTGTGTTGTATTTGTAACACTTCTGCAAGAGGCTTCATCCTCACCCAAAAACTTTGTCTTGAAAGAGCTGACTAAGCTTGGCAGGTGTCCACAGAGGCAGATAGCGTGGCACTGCTGAAATGCAGTGGCAGAGAAGGGCAAAATCCCTGGTTGTAACCCAGGGGGACGTAATGGGACGCGATGGGACATGATTGGGATGGGATGGGATGGGATGCGATACGATGCGATGCAATGCAATGCAATGGGATGAGGGCTTTAACTGTACACACACAGATGTCCCTAGGGAAGGGCAGCAGTGAGCCCTCTCCTCTGCAGATGTACCCATGGGGACAGGAGCTGCCTCAGAGGGAGAGTGAGGGCAGTTTTTTAAAAAAGATGACTGCAGCTGAAATGACTTTTAAATTTTTTTTATTATTTTTTTTAATGAGAGAGGCTGTTTTTTCTCGCCTTGGGGGTCCGGGCTGCAGCCAGAGCATGCCGTCATGGGGCAGGTGAAGCTGCGTCCTCACAGGATGGGGACAAGCTCAGCAGGGTCTTTCCTTTTGGAGTGCGTTTGCGCGTGAAAACATTTTTGCCCACCCTGCAGGAAGCAGAGAATTCCTGTGCATTTAGGGACACTCGGGGGTGTCCCTAAATGCCCCCCAACTTGCCCCTAGCCAGCAGGCATTGGCATCCCTGCTGCGAACCCGTGCTGCAAGGTTCCCAGGGTCCCCTTGCCCAGGAAGATCCTCATCCTCAGGGGTCCTGGGGAGGGCCCCTCTGTGAGATTGCTGCCCACCATATTTCCCCACTACCTCGTGGCTTTCCAGTCCTCCTCGAGGGACCCGACGGATTCACGTAGCA